ATACTGATCGCAGCAGTACAGTCCTCCTATAGCCTGACGTGTCAACCAGTCGATTACTCGGACGATACTCGAGCAGTGAGGGTAAGAAAGCAAACGCTGGTTTAAACGTGGATCATTTCCAAAATTTGTAAAAGTTTTATTTAAATCAAAGTAATATTGAAGTTTCATTCTCCAAAAATATTAAAATAAGTGTGAAATTCAAAACGCTAAAAAGGAAACGAAAAGGTGAAAATTAATAAATGTCATTCTAATGATATTCATTTGATATTCTCTTGAAATGTGTTTCATTGATTGATAATTTTCATTAATTTTTTTATTAAAATCTATCTTTGTATTTGTTGCAGATGATGAATGCTTGCTACTTGTATTTCATTTCCAAGATCATCGAACTTTTAGACACAGTAAGTAAAACTAACATCAAGGTGCCCGTAAAAAGTCTGCAGCTTCACGTTTATACGAGAATTGATATTTATTATTCATTTTATTCAACAATCTTTATCCACCCTATGTATTTTCACTTTGGTCTCTAATCATAAAATATTCAATAGTAAAAATCAGATTGAAATTAAATTGCTCATGGAGTCGAGAGATCGATTCCGAGACTTCTGTCTATCAAATACAAACAAACTGCCGCTGACATTTATTTATGAAATATTTAATTCATTGATTGAGAGCATTTCGCACCTGAAGGATTTTTTTTATTATAGCAGTTTTACTTGAAAGCCACCATAAAATGTAGACCAGCGATTGTTCAATATTTATTTTATGATATCATAAAAATGACATGGTTCAAAACGAACCTAAAATTTTATTTTAAATAGTATGCATGATATTAGCTGCAGGTGACTAAACTCTCTGAACGAATATTTGTATACATGTAGAACATGTTTTAAAACGAACGTTTAATACCATGAAGATTTCACAGGGGCTGGGTTAGGAGTGTTACTTAAAGTCTTTATATCTTTGCTAATATATACAGCGAATATCCATAATATAATTTTTTTCTTTTTTTTCCTCCAGTTTTTCTTCATTGTACGGAAGAAAGAGAGTCAGTTAACATTTCTACACGTCTATCATCATTCCATTATGTTGCTACACACTTGGTGGTTCGTCAAGTTTGTACCAGGGGGTCAAAGTATGTCATTTTGAAATTAAAAAAGGAAATACGTCAGTAATTATTACGGCTGTTATTTTTTGCATTTTAATTACAGGTCCAAATTATAGTACTAAAATTGCGTTATTTTAAATGCAGAAAAACCAATTGCACAGAAACTTGTTTAAAAAGATGAACAAGATATTAAAGTAGTGATATATATTTTAGCAATTTAAACTTTCTATATTTCAACACATGTTATATTAAAAGCTTATTGATTTTTCTCTTCTATTGCAATACCAGCTTTTATGCTTGCACTCCTGAATTCCTTTGTACATGTTTGGATGTACGCCTATTACGGATTAGCAGCCATGGGTCCACACATGCAGAAATATCTTTGGTGGAAGAAATACCTGACCAAGTTACAGTTGGTAAAACGATCTACGCTGTTTATCAATTTAATTTTGTAGCCTTCCTCTGTGATTTTTTTATCAATCCACCTATCTCAAGCATGCTGAGAAAATTGAAAAGAAGTTATTGATGGTTATTGACAAAATCGTTGTGAATGCAAAATGGAATTTTTACGTGCATAGGGAATTGAATTCTTTTGATATTGATTTTTTTAAAGACATTTCTTTGCAACTGCTGAAAACAAAAAAAAAAGCTTTGATTTAACATCGTGCATCACATACAATTAATATAAAACGACAAAATTTTATAATTTTTCCCAATCTTTAAGAATTGTGTTTTATTACTTAATAACACGATAACTTTCTGTTTTTTAGTTTCAGTTTGTGTTGACTAGTTCCCACGCCCTTTATAACTTCTGCTTTGGTGACTGTGGTTTCCCGCGGTTATTTTCACTGTCGAGCGTCATTCAGTCCATAATTTTCTTCAGCCTCTTTATGAACTTCTATATAAAGGCCTACAAGAAAAAGTACAGCTGATTTGGAAACAAAACGGTCGATTTTCTTACAAATCTGTGCAAGAAGTGACACATACCGCTAGTATGTTCATCAAAATGGTGCGTTTTTCCCATGATTTATTTTCCTATGGGTAACCTAACTATTATTAAATTTCTCCAGTTTTTACTTTACTTTTGTTCTTAAGTCGGATATATACTGATCCTCTAAAAACTCCAAAAAGAGGTTCTTTTGTTCTTGTTTTTCCATGCATAGTAAAAATAAAGTGTTACAATGTCTTCTGAAAAATAATGCATGATTTCTTTAGCCATTTTATGATTGCAAATTCGGTTTGCACACTAGCATTTTGTCTTAGACACTTGTCTGTGTCAGAGAGTCGTGAATAATGACTGTTTCCGTAACACTGCAGAGCGAATAATCTTTTGAAAAAAGGCTTTCTGTGAAAGTCTGTCACACGTTGATACAAATGTATAAACATGATGCTTATTTTGTTTTTTGTGTTCATTTTAATTTATCAGAGTTGGTTATTTTTTCATAATCTGTTTTATGTTTCGACTCAGTATCGTTTTATTTATCTTATTTTGGTTAAGTGGGTTAATGTACATACTTAATGCACTTTTTAAATACTCTTCTGACACAAGATATATTTCAATATTTTTTTTCAGTGTGCAGTGATCTCTGCAGTGTTTACTAGTAATTGCTTACATTGTTTTGAAAATTAATATATACAAACACAAAACTAAATGTGTACATCCATATTTGTTTTTGTGTATTCTTTTAATTATAGTAAGCGCTTAAAAACGACGAAAAACGGTAACGCTTATCCATTCTGCTGCTACTGGTTGACGTCACTACTAAAACACCCTAGGATAACTTAACCGCCATTGCTGGATATCAAAGATGGCGTGCAAAGCGAATTAAGACGCATAATGAAAATGTACCTTTAGATGCATAGTTATTTTAGTTGCTTATTCTTATTTTTTATAAAGAATTCAAGTATTTTTTATGTCTACGTGCCATGACGTGTGCTTATCTATTTATCAAAATGTTAGTTTTATTAAAATGTTTTTAAGAACTTGGTTTAGTGGTTTTTGCAATATACAACTTTTAAATGGACTATCCTCATCAAACATGTGCACGTACCAATAGTGTGGAAACTGAATACACATACCTCTTTAAAGCATACTTGATCATATTGAAAATGGGAATAACTCAATTTCCAACTTTCTAAATAAATAATTACGAACATATCATATTTATTCAATTTATTTTCTTAAGGTCTTCTTATTTAAAAATTCGATGAGTATCATGAAATGCAAAACCATCATTAGTTGACAAACAAAAGAAAGATAACTCTTGTTTTAAAAAAAAATAATAGTGACATTTTTCGCCCGAGAAACTACCAAAAAAAAAATTCTTATCTTAAGAGTTAGAGATTCTGAAATCACACCTATGCTTCCGCTCAGAGTTCTGTATAAAAATTAGTGTAGCGACTAACATCAAAATTTCACTAAAATATTTCACTTGTGAAGAGAAGCATGAAATTTGTTACATCTATCTGTCAGATAGTACTGTTTCTAAAATCATTTTGAAGATGGCTGCCGCTAAAACAAAATCATGGCGACATTTCTATACTACTTGGCCTCACAAACGATCGACATTCTGTCATGTTTACCATTTTTGGCCATTTTGTGATGTATTCTGGCATAACTAAGCCTTGTACAATGACAATGAATTTATTCTCATAAACTGACATTAAGTACAGTGTAGAGACATATTACAAATATAGTTAAATATATGTGCATGCGTGAAACAGAAAAAGTACAAAGTCAAAAAGCTAACAATGACCTAACCAGGAGAGCCAACTCTCTCATAGATAATTTTTATAAATTTACACAGTTTTATCAACTTAACTGTATTTTTTGTATTAAAAAGTTGTTCAAACTTATACACATTTGGATATAAATAGTAATACTTTGATAATAGTGATAGTCTTGATTTCAAAATAGATGGGTCATTACAATTAAATAAGTAATGATATTCATCACCAATTTCATTTTTTGAACATAACTTACAAATTCTATTTTCTCTTGGTACATTTTGCCATCTCCCAACTTCAATCGGTAATTTATTATTACAAGTTCTAAACCTACATAGTAATTTCCAGTACTTACAAGGCAAAGATACTAAATACTTTTCTAAACAAAATGAAGTTTTATATATTCTGTAATTAAGACCTTTAGATGAATTAAACATTTCACTGTACCATGACTGTTTAAACTGATCATACGGAGTGTTAAAAACTACTTTCTTCAGCCAGGATACATTCACTGGTTGGCAAGTTTGCCAGATATAAGAAAGCCCACATTCATTCAGTATAGATTTGATAAAGTTCATGATATCTTAATCATTATGCTTTAAAAACAAAGCAAATTAACTTTCCTATAATGGAACTCAATTCCGCAATATTTTTCTTTCTATAATCAATAAAGTGTTAATTGCATGCTTTACAAAGGTGAGAAGAAATTCTAAAACGACATATCAAAACATGAATGTTTGATAGGAATGCAAAGATTGGTTTAGGCAACACAAGCAGAGAGAAAATAATGGAGAACTTTGAGAAACGAAATGCACTTGTAACCGAAATCTCCATATTCCCACACATGAATATCTATTAAAAACATGGTATTCGCCAGATGGATTACGAAAAACCAGACTTATCTTGAAAAGTCCGAGATGCAAAAGCTCGGACTTGAGTTATATGAGAGTAAAAGGAGAATGAAACATAAACTCACACCACCATCTACTGCTTAGCAAATTGAAATAAGACTGGCAAAACTGAGAAAAAGGGAATAGAAGAGCATTGGATACTGTTGAAAGCCGACTTTAAAGTCTAGATATCGCAGGAGTCTAATGGGACCTGACAATGACATTTTCAAAAGCCCGTGAAGAAATCCAAGGAAGAAATACGATATTTGTAAGAAAAATAAGAGAATAGATGTTACTAAAACAGCTCAATACTTAAAAAGTGAAGCCAATGATAATATTTATAAGGCAAAAGCAAGATTGGAAGAGAAGAAAGCTTCAAACTAAATAGCGGGTCCTAGACAACGAAGTCAAACATAACTGCAGGCTGGAAAATAGAGACTTTGTAAATGAGCTTGCCATCCAAGCTGAGCTGGCAGCCCAGAAAGGAGACCTAAATACATCACATAACATCGCCAAAATCCTGAGCACCAGAACTCCTAGTTAAGTCAAACCAGAAAATATTAAAAATAGGAAAAATGTTGATAAAACTAGAGGAACAGCCAGATAGATGGAACAAACATGTCAAAAAGGTATTAAATAGACCAACACCAGAGGAACAAATAGTTTTTACCCAGGGAAAAACACGAATAAGATAAAAATGGTAGGAGCAATAAGGAAATAAGAACAGCTATTAAATCTTTTCAATATGAATAAAAACGGAATAAATGATATAAAACCAGAGGCATTGAGGACTGGGTGACCAGAAGTAATGGATTATATGTATAGACTGTGGAACAAAATATGAGAAACAGATATAATCCCTTGTGAGTAGAAGAAATTACTGAATGTCAAACTATATATACCAAAGAAGAGAATTGACAATCTCTGCAAAAATGAAGAGGCACTACATTGCTATGTGTAGCAAGTAAGATTCTAAAAAGTGTTATCTGGAATAGAATAAAAGAGGCAACAGACAAAGTACTGAGAGGCGAACAAGCCGGATCTAGATCGATCACTACATCCACTGTACTAGTAAAAATTTATATTATAGAGCAATCTGTCAAGGGCATTATCATTTTTCATTAACTTCAACGACTTAAAAAGTGTTTTATATAATCAATAGAGGAAATTTATTAAGTCATTGACATTACAGAATTCCAGTCAAGATCGTTAACATGATAAAGACGCTGTGCGAAGTATGGGGTACAAATACTCTGATAGAATCATTTGCTGTAAAAATTGGGGTTAAACAAGGATGCCTACTATCAGATACACTATTCCTAATATGCTGTGTAACAAGACTTGTAACCCTTTGATACAAGTGTCATATTGTAATTATTGAATTTACCGGCTGGTAGTAAATACAAAAGTTACTAGTTGTCATATTGTAATTTTTGTATTTACTACCACCCGGTAAATTCAAAAATTATAATATGACACAAGTGCGAATTGAGTGGCCCTTCGTTAATAGACCGGTAGACGACCTAAACATTGCAGATGACCTTGCACTTCTACCTTGCACTGTATAGGACATGAAAGACGAGACGAAACAGATGAAACAGGAAAAAAGATGAGGCTAAAGATCTATGCCAAGAAAATAAAGGATAATGACCAAAAATGGAGGAGATGTAACAATTAAAGACTAAGATGTAGAAGACACCAACCAATTTCCATATCGTAAAAAAAAAAAAAAACCATGGGCACTGACGGAAATAATTAAGCCAGACTACACAAAGGAATGCAGGCTTTTGTAACGCTACGATCAGAATAGAAATCAACAACATTATCACTAAACACCAAAATTATGATATTCAAAAACACCGTGAAACAATTTATTTTTATGGTGCAGAAACCTGTTTAACTAAACGTCTACGAGAGAAAATCTCGTACCATGAACAAGTGCATGTACCTACATTTACAGAAATTGGTGGCATAGAACCATAAATAAGTTGAGGTCCAGGATAAGAATCAACCAAGACCCATCAGTGAAACAGAAAAAAAAAACATGACAAGGGTACGTCACACTCTAAAAACCTGTCAATACCATCATCAGAGAGTATCTACTAATGAATCCTCAGGGTATTCGGAAAAGAGGTCGTCCATTACACATGTATAGCTGCAGAACAAGAATAAAAGAAGAACTAGTATATCAAATTGGATCAAGACAAGAAAAACAGCTCAAAACAGGGTCGGATGGAGGACAACAGCTCTATGTTTCACAAGGAATGATGAGGATGAAGTTTTTTTTTTTTTAATTCATAGATTTTATTTGTGCTTTCACATATACAGACTATACAATATATTAGTTAACATTCAATACATACTTTCATTTCTACTGCCTGATACTTCATATTAAATATAATTTCTTTGTAGTAAATATATGTTGCATTTCAAAATCACATTAAAATTGTATATGACATATTGTACATTTTAATGAATATTCACTGTGAAAGCTTTATATACAGAGATAAAATTAAAGAAAGGAAAAAGGGGGTGAAAGGGTGCAAAAAAAGTGAGGTGGGGGGAACAGTATTAAGTATTTTAACATACTTGTACATTTGTATATAAACTTGAGAAAAATAAATACATTATATCATATCACAAATAATTTTCCAATATTTTTCATATTCTGAAAATTTACAGTTTCTTAAAAGTATAACTTTTTCGACTAATATTCTATCCACAATATTTTTTTCTAGCATTGAGATGCTTAGTTTAGGCACATTTTTAAACCTACTAGCAAAAATAAATTGCTTGACAGTAAGTATTAATATATTGTGTAGTCTAAACATGTTTTTGTTGTTGAATTTGCCAAAAAGTATATCCTTTCTATCAAAATTAATGGTAAAATGAAACTGATTTATAAACCATTCCTCAATGTGACACCATATTTTTTTAACGCAGTAACACTCAAAAAATAAGTGTTCAATCGTTTCGACATCTTGTTTACAAAAGGAACATACAGGTGAATCAATTAGTTTGAGATTGTAAAGGTATTTATTTGTTGCAATAATCCTATGCAGAATTTGAAATTGCATCCACTGAAATTTTGCTTCTTTTGTTACTTTAAAAGGAAGTTCAAATATTTTATTCCAGTCTATATCGCCAAAAAATATTCCATTATTTTCCCATTTTTCTAGTGCCTTAATTGCTTCCTTTTTCTTCTTAATGAGTAAACTATACATGTCTTTACAGCCTTTTGTACTTTTATAAAAAATATAAAGTGAATTAGGGATAAAAGGTCCAGTTTCTCTTTTTTCAATATCCATACTTTTCAATGTTTTTAAAACAGCTACTTTTAAACCTGCATATTCTACAAAATTTGTT